ATCCCCAGGGACCGTGCACCGGGCAGGGCCCCGCGCGGCACCCACAGCGCCGGGGCGCCGGGCTGGGGCTGCAGGCGGCTTAATCAAACACATCACAGCGAGCGTGGGCCAAACCTGGGCTCACTTACCCTGCGGCTGGTGCCGAGCAGCACCCCCGTCCCGGTGGCATTTGCTGCATTTACTGCCGTGCTAACGAGAGCCAAAGGCAGGCTGCTGAATGCAAGCATTTCACTTAATAAAACCCCTTTGAGCCAAACACTTTGGCTTCACCTTCAGGAGCTGGCAGATGTCTGCAGATCTTATTCTTCTGGTTACCAAGTGCAGAGCTCGTTTGGTTAGAAACTCGTGTGAAGTGGTACATCAAACATTGGCAGCGGCCCAGCGACAGCAGAACAAGAGCGCGGCGCAGAGCCCGGCCGGCGCTGGGGCGCTTCAGGCTAGAAAAGGGCCATCTGCCCCGTGGAAATCACCTGTTCAGCACTCCAAATATTTAATCCAAACAAAGGGAAAACATTGATTCGCTGCCGGGCCAGAGGGACGGGTGCTGCTCCAAGGGGGACTCGAAGGCTGCGGTTGCGGCATAGGGCGGACAAGAGATGCGGAGGTGGGAGCTGGAGGGAAGCGGAGCCGGCTCCTCCCGGCCTCCGCAGCCTCTGCGTGCGGCTCTGTTTGTGCCTCCACAGTCACCCAGGGCCAGGCTGCACCTCTCCGATCCTCTCTCCCTCCTTTCAACTTTCCTGGAGGTAAAAGCCCTCTTTGGGCCAGGATCTGCTCCATAACTGAGCTACAGGCTAGCCTAGCATTCGCCTCTTCTATTTTAAAAAGACAGGGGTTAAAAACCACGCAAACTTGCAGCCGAACTCGGTGTTTATGCAGTGTGCAGCCGCAGAGCCTGCGGCCAGTTGCTCAGTCCCCCAAACACAAATGCCAGCCCTTGGCTCCACCTGCTCCCCCTCGCCGGCACAGCCACATTTCTAGGAAAGATTCTTTCACCAAGGTATTTACAGCAGGAATGCCAGAATATGGATGTGGCCCTGGGTGTGCATGATGCTTCCCTCCTCGATCACTTCATTCGCCTGCAGATGAGCCCACTTAACACTAACGCGGCAGCGACGCTCAGGTGGATCAAAGAGGCTTTAAGTCTGGGGAAAGACAAGCCCTGCTAGATGCTCCAAGCGGAGGAGTTGACCTGCACGGGTGTCCTGCAGGGTCCCTCGGTGGCCAGCGCTGCGTGCGCCCCAGCAGCAGGACTCTGGCCCTGGCCTGTCTCCAATGACACGGGGCCAGAGCGAGTGAATGACACGAGCGCGCGGGGGGTGGATCCGCCGGGCTGATCGGCCCACGATAGCAGGGGTGAATTATATAACATTCTTTTGAAATACCTGAGCTGAGTGACAGCAGCGAGCTCCGGTCCTGCCGCCGCCAGCCCGGCTCAGCCCCGCGGGCACCCGGAGCAGCGGGGAGCCCCGTGCGCCGCCGTCCCCGTCACCGCATCCCGTCGTAGCCAGGAGGAGCCCGAGGCCGGTGAGCACTCGTGCGCGGGGCCGGTGCCTCCTCGAGGCCGGGGAGCCCTCGTGCGCGGGGCCGGTGCCTCCTCGAGGCCGGGGAGCCCTCGTGCGCGGGGCCGGTGCCTCCCTGCCGCGGTGTTGCAAGGGGAAGAGGCCGGCGGTGGTTGCAGGAGGCTCCGGTCGCGCCAAGAGCCCCTGGCCCCAGCGCAGCCCCTTGGCGAGGAGTTCCTCGCCGGGATTCCCTGCCCGGCCTCGCGCGCCTCGTCCCCTTCCACCGCGGGGCCCTGAGGCAGCCGCAGCCGGAGCCGCCACAGGGGACGTGGGCCGAAAACCCTGAATCAGGGGAACCGCAGGGGAGACCTTGGGCCTCGTGTCGCAAGCAAACCCTTGCATCTGCGTTGCCTCGCGCAGACCTTGCCTCCCCGGCTGCAGGATTGCTTTTTACAGCCCTTTCTTGGGCAACGGAGATGGGGAGGATACTTCCTAGTGAAGATTCACCCGGGCTTTGGAAGGGGCTGGACCTCCGGGCTCCATCAGCTGCAAGGAGATCTGTGCCTGCACATGCTTGTGCACGAAGCAGGGAGAGGGAAGGGTTGGAGAAAGGGGCAAACAGTCCCCCTGGGACACCAAGTTTCTGTCGCTAAAATAGGAGGGCCTCATTTATGCTTTGCTAGAGTCTCCCCAAATGTCCAGCTCTTACGCTGGGAAGAATTTGCTCCCTTATATTACACACCAAACGCAGATCGGATTGCTTTCCTAACTTGTGATTTATGCTCCCTGGAGTCCCTTTCCTGGGGCTATGCCAGCACAGGAGAGTGGCTTTATGCCAGTGGGTCCTATCAGCACTGGCCAGAAACCTCAATGTGACTTTTCTCTTCCCCGACACAGCTATCACCAGCACAGGGACAGGAGATAAGGGCTCAGTAAGTGCATTTGCTTCATGAGCACTGGGGGGGGGAAAAAGTTTGTGCTTGGTAAACGCAAGGTGTTTTTGAGTCCGGCAGGAGGGGGATTAGCCAGGCATAGACTGTTGGCTGGTGACTTTCCGGGACAACTTCTCACGCCCCCATCATATTTTTGGAGTGAAATAGTTCCATCTTGGCTTGCTCTTTGCTCTGAGCATCCCATCATATTAGAATACCTTGTTTTTTTCTGCTTCTCTGAGACCCTAGTCTCATTAGACTTATAACCAAGGCCAAATTTCAGATTTAAGCATCAGGCGCTCTAAGCCAGGCACTGGATTTCCTGGAAAGCTCAGCTTGCAGCGCAGAGCTCTCATCCCAGCGCCAGCCCCGCGTTGCAGCGAGTGCCCCTGCTGCAAGAGAGCTCTTGCAAAACCCGGCCTGGGCAGCACAGCCACTTCCCACCGCTCGGCTTCTCTTTCTGCACATCGCATTGCTTCAATCCTGCCCTGGCCACGCAGCTTAAAGCAGCTCTGCAGCTTAACAAAGTCATCAACGGCAGCACAGCTGGTTCTGCCTTGTATGCAGGGAGCAGCCACACAGCTCATTCTCTTTAATTCTGAAATCTCAAAGGTTTAACCCGCTGTTTGATCTAGGGCAAGGCCAGTGATAAGCCCAGTCAAGAACTTGACTCTGTCCGAGATGCTGACATCATCAGCCTGTTTGTTTAAGATGGAATTTAATCATGGGGATATTTTCCCCCCTATGCTTGCCTTGTTTATTATTTTTTCTGACCGCCAGCACTTTTGCCCAGCAGGAGAACTTCATTAAAGAGCTGGGCCCAACTGGCGGATTGAGCCCTGCCGGCAGGCGCACTGCTCGGCAAGGGATGCAGCAGGAATAAAGCTAAGGGAGACTTCTTGCACCAGGAACATGGCTGGGTTTCCTCTCCTTCGGAAACCCGTTGATGGGCCTGGGCTGTAGGATATTTGCAGGGAGTGGACTGGAATTCCACAGGAAAGCTGTGGGTAAGTCCTGGAGGGAGCCCAGGGATGTTGGGAATCGGCTCAGTAACAAATGGAGAGCAGGACTGTAAGGTAGGACAAGACTAAGGTAGGATGACAGTGAGCGGAGAGGCGCTGGTGTGAACGCAGGGCCGGGGAGGAGCCCGGCTCGGCGCTCGAGCTCAGCTTGCACCAAGCCTCCACAAGGCAAAGCTCACGACCCTCCTCGAAGCGTGTTCCGATTGTGCCTGTTCCGACTGTGCCAGGACGCGGGGCCTGCAGAGGGCACCGGAATAAGCGCCCGGCAGCGCCGGTTTCCCCTTCAGCGACTAGACCAGGACGGGCAGAGCAGCAGCGCCGCCGCCCGCCCCTTCCCTCGCCTCCTATTAGTGCCTCGCTCTGCTGACCCACATTCCCCCCGGCCGAGCCGCGTGTCTCACTCCCCTTCCTGCCCTGGCCTCCCGGCCCTGCTGCTGCACATTACTCACGTCTCCAGCTCAGCCGTAGCTGTTAATCAGCGAGGAGTGAAAACGCACCCGCGTTCGTTCGCCCCGTCTCGCTGAAGTCGGTGGCAGGACGTGCGTTGACTTCAGCAATGTTCACAGAAGCCGTGTCGGGAGAGGGGAGCATCCAGTACCTTCCAGTCTCTGCAGCCTGAGGTTCATCTCTTGATGCTTGCTCCTGAATTACCAGCTTTTTCCACCCCCTCTTCTAATCCCATGTTGGGCAATGACCCACTTAGATAAGTGCCATGCAAAAATAATTACCTGCATCCTTGATTTAGACCTGACCACTTCCTCCCTCCACTCCCAGGCTCTCCGACGTGTCGCACGTCTCTCCTCTTCCCAGTTATTGCTAATACGGTAAAATCAGGGCACTCTGAACTTCATCATCTTCGGTGAGACCCAGATCCTCTGCCGGACGAGTCTGGCAGGATGTTTTGGCACCGTCATCTCTAGCACAGATCGGTGACAGTTACCTTTCGGTGCACCGTTTCCTAGAAGAAATCAAGGACAAACGCAGCACCTGTCCCAACCGTAAGAAATATGAGGAGTGCTGCATGTGAATGAACAGAGCAGGCAACGTGGCAGGAGCAGCTGGGATGGAAGGCGCCTTGGGGTGTCGGCATCACCCACTGCACAGCGTGCCGGGGTGTCCGATCCGGCGGAGCCTCCTTTGCTCTGTTGGCCAAGTGGAGTGGGTTTTCCACGTGGAGAAGGTGGAGTGGGTTTCCCGGGACGGGAGCCGCTGTCCGAGGACACGCTCCAGGCCCCCTGCACAGCACCTCTATATTCTTACATTATATCATATTCTTGCGTCACGTGACAAGGGTGACCACGTTAAAATACGGGCAAAATCCTCCCGTGCTGGGGAGCAGCAGCCTCCAGAGCCGCAGGAAGCCACTCCCAGGGCCAGCCTCTGCACCAGCACCGGGAAACTATTTAGGGTGGAGATGTTCGAGGAGGGCTCCCAGGCACTGGAGGTGTCCAGTCCATCGCACTGCAGGTGGGGACAGCCCCAGTCACATTCTTACCTCCCTTTTGTTTTGTTCTAGATCTTTTTCTGAGAAAAAAAATAATCCAGAGATGAGCCACGCCAGACCTCGCTATGTCATCGAACGTCCAGCATATTCGGTCAGCCTCTTCGACGAGGAGTTTGAGAAGAAAAGCAGAAGTTATCCAATTGGGGAAAAACTGAAAAACCTTTTCAGGTAACATAGAATGTTATGGTTGCTCCTGGGGCACAACTAAACTGGATTTCGTATGGAATTGGGATATAATTTGGACCTGGGGACATAGATTCTGTTTATATTCTGCTATTCCTTCTCCATGACCTTCAGGGCTTTTAGGGATGGGAGATATCGGAGAAATGCAAATTGTACTAAAGCAAGTGAAATTGGTTATATTTTCACTGCCTCGACAGCTATGCTGTAAGGCAAATAAATGCAATAGTTGGCGCTAAGTGCATTTGGGGTTTGGTTTTCTGTTGTCTAATTCTGTTTAATAACGAAAAAAGTGTAATCAGTGATGTAGGTGTGGGTGTGTGGATTATTCCTTCAAGCTTTCTAGCTGGGATTTCCTTTGATCGGCTTTCCAAACAAAGACAGCACTGGTTTTCCGTAAGGAAAGATGAATAATCTTGCTGGTTGCTGTCTCTGTAATCTAGCTCCACTCCTTGGAAAAACGAAGCCTGTGTACAGACAGAATCATATGAATTAAAAAAAGAGAGAATCATACAGATTAGCAGGGGGAATGTGAAAAGCTCCATGTTTCAGCTCAGAAACAATTTTCTTTCATATAAACTTATTTTTATGACCAAGGACCTAAAAAGTTTATCTTTAGCTCTGTGCAACTGCCCCAGGAATCTTCCAATTGTTTTAGAGCTTTGCAGTTCACCTAAGTGCACTTGAGAGTATTAGAAACACCGATTCTGGTTATCTGGGGGCTGAATCCTTTCCTCCGAGCAGGACTGGGCACAGAGGGACCTTGGACCATTTCTTACCTCCTTCCTTGCTTCTCTACTTGTGTTCTTGTTCTTGTCCTCCTCTAGATGTTCAGCTTCCAGATTCAAGCTCATCCTCTTCAGCCTGTTCCCAATCCTTGCGTGGCTTCCCAAGTATAAAATCAAGGATTATGTTTTGCCTGATGTTCTCGGCGGGCTCAGCGCGGGCACGATCCAGGTGCCACAGGGTGAGAAGGGGCGGCATTCTCCACTAGCCAGGCATTATGGAGTTGCTTCCCCCGGGAGCTTTGGAGAAGGGATAACACTTTGTCACGTAACCTTAGAGATTCAACAGATGGCCATTGGCTGCAGGGGTTAGCTCCGTCACGGGGACACGGATGAACCACAGCTCTAGCTCCAACCTGGCCGTCCCTCGATTCCCTGGGGCGAGCAGAGCCCCACGTCCGTGCAGGACCCCGCGCTGGTGCCTCCTACAGCCGCCCCAATCCACCCGCTGCGGCTGCCCTCCCCTCTGCACCGAGGACAGCATGTCCAGACAGCGACCAGGATGGGGGGCTGACTCCAGAGGCAGGACGCAGGCAACCTGACCGGATTCCTTGTGTTTTCCAGGAATGGCCTTCGCCCTGTTGGCCAATCTCCCTCCCGTCAACGGGCTCTACTCCTCCTTCTTCCCCTTGATAACCTACTTCTTCCTTGGTGGCATCCACCAGATGGTCCCAGGTAAGAGTCCTTGGAAATGCCCCCACGTTTTTCAGTCATGGTGGTGGTGACGAGTTGGGTGATTCGGTCTGGACAGCCTGACCTGTCGGGGTGATCCCCAGCTCTCCAGAGCAAACCACTGACACGCCTGTGTTGTGCTCAAGGTACTTTTGCCGTCATCAGCATCATCGTTGGGAACGTCTGCAACGAGCTGGCTCCGGAGTCGGACTTCCAGTACTTCAACCAGAGCACCAACGAGATCTCTGTGAACACCACCGCCCTGGAAGCAGCCAGGCTGGAGATCTCGGCCACGCTCGCCTGCCTCACAGCCGTCATACAGGTACGGACTCTGAGACACAGGATCTGCTGGGGCCTCTGGGCAACTTCGGCCCACGTGCGGTCAGCTGCGCTCTCTGGAGCAGAGATGAGGGCAGCAGACACTAGGAGAGGCCACGCTTGTAAGTGAGGCTGTGTTTGTAAGGGGATGATGCCTCAAAGGAGAGGCTTTGGGGGATACTGGCCCAAAGATGCCACTCACAGTGGCATCTTTCTAATAACCGCTTGTGTGTCCTCCTCCAGCTGTGCCTGGGCTTCGTGCAGTTCGGCTTTGTTGCTATCTACCTCTCGGAGTCTTTCATCAGGGGCTTCATGACAGCAGCCGGGCTGCAGATCCTCATCTCCGTGCTCAAGTACGTCTTCGGCTTGACAGTCCCGTCTTACACCGGGCCCTTAGCTATCGTCTATGTAAGTGGGTGCTCCGGACAGGGGCCTTCCCTGCTGCTCCTCCCCAGGGAGCAGCCTGCCCAGGGCCGCTGCCACCGCGCTGGGAACAAGGGCTGGGACGGCAGGAAAGCGGGGAGGGAGGGACGGAGAGAGGGAGGAGGACCATGGCTCCCCACCAGCCCCACACCTGCCTTGACACTGCTGTACTCACACAGAGCCTTATCCGAGCCTGCATTTGGTAGTTTCTAATCAGAGGTAATGAAGAGGTTCTGGGATCTGGAGCAAGGTGAACTACGCTGCTTTGCAGAACTAGTCTTGCCCAATTATCAAACATTTTCTGTGAGAATGCTGTTCATTTCTGAGGCTGTTTTGCGTGCTCCCCTGATGCATCTTCCATCAGTGCAGCTGGAATTGCCTTTAGCTGAACAGTACAGAGCCAGGCTGGCTGCTGATCTCTCAGCAGCAGGTTTTCTAGCACTTGTTTTCCTTGATAGAGCCCCTGTCCCACGTCAGGGTGCTTGGGGTGCATGGGGGCGATGAGAGTTCTCCACCGTGCTGTGGAGGCTGTCAGGGTCTCTGGCCCTCCCTGACACCTTTTCCTCTTCTCTCTCTTCCAGACGTTCATTGACATTTGCAAAGGTCTCCCCAAGACCAACGTGGCCTCCCTTGTCTACGCCTTGGTCAGCGCCGTGCTCCTGATCATTGTTAAGGAGCTCAACCTCAAGTACATGAAAAAGATCCGGATGCCCATCCCCATGGAGATCATCATCGTAAGCAACACCTCACCTGCCCCTGCGGCCCTCACCATGCATTGCAGACCTAGGACACCTACTTCTAGCTCTTAGCATTATTTGTATGAGAGCCATTCATGTACATCATCTAGACAGTGAACATGGTGTCACCATACGTGGTTGGGGTCAGAAATAGAGCTGTCCTCCTAGAGGGGACCCCTAGTCTCCAGGACTCCCTGTCAGGCTGTAGTTGCATCCTAGTGATGCCAAGGACCAGGGACATAACTGGCTGGGGAGGGTCTCTCGCAGCCTAAATTTGGGTCTGATTTTCTACTGTCCTCCCCAAGAGCACAGCAAGCCTGGTGATGCCGAGCGAGCCCAGCGGCCTCCTGCTCTTGACCCCTTCGTCCTCTCTGCTTGCAGGTCATCGTTGCAACCGCGATCTCTGGCAGCTTTGGCATGCCCGACAAGTACAACATGCCCATAGTGGGGAAGATCAGCATGGGGTAAGTGCACGTGCAAGCCTGACCCAATTCCAAGGAGTTTTCCTTCCTCCCCCTCACTCTGCAGCCTGGAGAGCCCCTCACTTCCCTGCTGCCTTGGCACCCCTTGAGCCCTTCCAGGACTTCCACGTGGCTTTGCCAAGCAGTGGCCATGACCCTCCTCGGCCGCCCGCACTTGCGGCACGGGTTGTGTCTCTCCCAAGGTCCTGACCCGCTGAACCCGCGTGCAGACAGTGGTGTCACAACCGCCTTCCCCTCTGCTCCGCATGCAGCTTCCCGGCGCCGACGCTGCCGCTCGTGGGCAAGTGGAAGGACATGATAGGCACGGCCTTCTCGCTCGCCATCGTGGGCTACGTGATCAACTTGGCCATGGGGAGAACGCTGGCAGCCAAGCACGGCTACGACGTGGACCCCAACCAGGTAACGCGTGGAAGGACACGGCCACAAAACGCCCCCCTTGCTCCCAAGGGTGAGAGACAGACCTGTGTCCAAGAAGGTGAAACTTTCAGATACATTCTGCCTAAAATACACATGCTTCTAGCTTGCACGCAGCCCCACACGGCAGCTTGCCCCATGGGGATCCCAAGGGCATGAGAGCAAGTCCTCCTCCCATGGGCTGCAGAGATACTAGAAGGGAAGGAAGATTTACACTCAGCGCTCTGCTCTGCCTTCCCTCCAGAACAGGCCCTTGGGCCCTGATTGCTGCTCCCAGGGTATTTTTACCCATTATCAGAGCACAGCGAGGCACATGTATGTCCCACTGTGCAGAGAAAGACCTGGATGCCTGCTGGGCACCTAGATACTATAAGAAGCAGCACATTAAATAATCCTCCTTGCCGTCACTGGCACAGTGGCACCTTTCAATAACAGCCACGCATGCCGCACGGGCCCTGCCCTGAGCGTGTCAATGGATGACAACGTGCTCGTTAGCCATGGTGCTTCCAGGCGTCCCGTCCCGGCTCCCATCAGAAGGAGAAGGTCTGGGGCACCGGGCTGGGACTCGAGCACCTCTGCCCTGGGCACCTGCAGCTGCCCCACAGCCCAGACCCATGGGGAGGACAGGAGGGAGAGATGTCCCTTCTGATAAGCCTCTTCCCCTGGTCTCCATAGGAGATGCTGGCCCTGGGTTGCAGTAACTTCTTCGGATCCTTCTTCAAAATCCATGTCATCTGCTGTGCTCTCTCCGTCACTCTCGCCGTGGATGGGGCCGGAGGGAAATCACAAGTTAGTATTTCCTCCTCTTCCTCTCCTCCTTATGGCATCCTGCTCGAAGGCAAACGTTTGCCGCTGCCGCGTGCTGCCCTCCTGGCATCCCGGCCGTGTGGCTGCAGAAGCTCCATGCACGAGTGATTCACACGGCTGCTATTAATAGCAGAAATTGCTCCCCAGCTCCATCTCATTCCTTAGATGGTTCTGGATGTGTCACTGATACAGGGCTATAACTCTACATTCCCAGTCTGGTTCTCAATGGCGGGAAGAGCTACCATGAGGCGGGGTACTTGAGGTTCCTGCTGAGATATGGAAAAGCTTAATCCATTCCCCAAAGACAAATGACCACCCTCAAAAAGCACTGCAGGGACAAACTGGGTTGCAGCAGCCGCAGAGAAAGGACGAAGAAGGGGTTAGGAAGGCCCTGACATTGGTGGTTTCTTTCTTTTCTGCAGGTGGCAAGTTTCTTTGTGGCATTGGTGGTTATGGTGACCATGCTGGCACTGGGGATCTACCTCGAACCCCTTCCAAAGGTAACACGGGTGCACGGGGAGCGGCTGTGATCACTGCACCACATGCTCTGCATGCCCAAGGGCAAGTACGGGCCTGGTTTGCCTGTGGGCTACGATCTGTGCTGGTTCTCTGCAAGCAGAGCAGAAAAGAGGGGGACTTTTAAATCATTGTGCTCTGACCCAAGCACGACCTATGTGAGCTTCACCCTTTGCCATGCCCTTGTGGGAAGCAGACCCAGGCAGGTAGCTCGTGCCCCGTGGACAGCCCCCTTTGCAAAGTACGGGGCGTTCCCAGGCCGGACACCCTTGCTAACGCCTCCCCTCTCCTCTGCAGTCCGTGCTGGGGGCCCTCATTGCCGTGAACCTCAAGAACTCGCTCAAGCAGCTGGCTGATCCCTTCTACCTGTGGAGGAAGAGCAGGCTGGACTGCGTGAGTGCCGGCGCGGGGAGGAGGCTGCTCGCACTGTGCGGGGAGCGGCCACGGCAGGGACACGGGGACACCCGCGGCAGGGACACGGGGACACCCACGGCAGGGACATGGGGCTGCCACGGGCCCCTTGCTCAGCACCCCTGGCTCCCAACCCTGCTCGCGGGGTCCTGAGCGGTGCCAGAGCCGTCCTGCCCAGCTGAGCACTGTCGTGCTTAGCACACATATCACTGAACCTGTTTAAATGCCAATCACCTGCAGGAGCCTGTTTGCCCAGAACTAGCCTAACCGGCCCCGCTCAGTACCTGGGAGTCAAGACTTAAAAACTCGCACAATGGCCCTCGGGGGCGAGGAGAGCCCTTCAGCGCGATAAGGACCCCAGGCGCTGGTTGATGTATAAACCCAGGCAGGGGGTGTGGGGAGCGAGAGCGGAATTTGGAAACAGCTGACACAGAAAGACAGTGTTTGAGCGGGACGCCCACGCGCAGCGTGCGCGTGGACACCGTGCCAGGTCCTGCCCGGTGCCAACAAGCCGCCTTATCTGGGAAGCGGGAAGTGGGAAGGGGCTGACCCTGAGTCATCAGGAGCCTTCCCCAAACACTCATCAGACTGGTCCTGGAGAACAGACAGGTAGGAGTGCAAACCACGCTTGCACGGGGTGTAATTATGGCACAAAGGAAGAGGACTCTAGCACAGGACATGAGCTCCAAAACGCTGCTCGGTGCTTAGGAGCTGTCCCAAGAGAGAAGCTGGGCTGGGGGGGGTGTTTCCATTGTGAGCTGCACTGGCCGTGCAGGAAGGATCCAGAGGAGAAGACAAGCTGCTGATGGAAAGATGCTTTGTTCAGGAGGGCTGGGGGGAGCCCTTTGGATCCCCCCATGGCACTGCCAGCCCATGGCGTGGTTATGCCTGGGATGTGCTGTGTTTTCCCATGGCTAATGGAGCAAAACTCTTGTCACTGGCAGCCACGGGTGACCCAGGCGGTGCTGCCGGCAGCGTGGGGCTCAGGCAATGGGGTGAACTGCATTCCCTGGCTTTAATCTCCCTGGAATTTGAACTGGATCCGGTGCACTTCCTGTCCCCAAAACCGGGGTGCAGCGGCGCTGGGTGACCTCAGGCCCAGTTACCCCGGCTTGGCCAAGGTCAAAGTCTGTCCCTTAACAGTCTCAAGGATGGGATTAAAATCCTCTGGTAACGATTCCCAGTGAGTATAGCTGTATATTGGGCCAGGACTGATTTCTCGTGGAGGAAGATGCTTGAATGCTGATGTACAGAAATGCCAAATGACAGGGCTGGGAGCTGAGCGGCGGAGCGGGTTTGGGTCTGCTCTGCCGTACCCTGCCGTGGATGTGCTCCGCGTGCCGGGCATTTGCAGCAGGTGTTGAGCCGCTTTCCAGAGAGACGCTCATTCCCTCTGAAGTGCGGGATCTTCCGTGGGGGCGGGAGCAGCCGCACGGCAGCAGACGGGCTGCTCGGCAGGAGCTCTGCCTCCGCTGGCGAGGCAGATATCTCCCGAACCGCCTGAATGGCACGGGTGTTCATGCAGCTGGGCAGAAATGCACCGGCTGCTTTCAGAGCTTGAAAACCGGCGCTTCTGGCAGCTTCCCAACAGCGAGATTCACAAGGGAACGTGCAATAAAAATAGCTGCAGAATCCAGGCCTTTTCCTTTCGATCCTCCCCAGTGCCCAATGCCAAGTACAGGGCTATTTCCCCCCTGCAGCCTGCAGAAGGGTGCAGTGACCGGTGCGCTCTTGTCCCCTGCAGCTGGTGTGGCTGGTGAGCTTCCTGTCCGCCTTCTTCCTGAGCCTGCCCTACGGCGTCGCGGTGGGCGTGGGCTTCTCCGTGCTCGTCGTGGTTTTCCATACCCAGTTGTAAGTATTGGTGGAGCTACCCAAAAAGAACGCCCAGAAACTCCCCCCGGTTGCAGAGTAAGCGACGCGTTATTCCTCTAAGCGACCTCTGGCCCGCGTTCCGCGGGAGCGGAGCCCCGGGGAGCACAGGTGCCTCCGCGGCGCCGGGAATGCGCCAGCAGGAATGGCAGGCGTTGATTCACTGCCTGCATTCCCACGCCGTGCGACGCGCACGTCCCGCGGCACGGCGAGGTATCTGCCCAGAGGAGCGACCTGCAGAGCTCCTAGCACAAAACCTGCTCCTAAAAGCAGCGAGTGCCGTACCGACACAGATGCAGATACAGCTACATGCCTTCTGTCACCCACCCAAGTCTTTTGGTGGTGTTTCGCAGGGTGGAGCCCGCAGCGGAGGGAGGACAGGGTTCTTTGGGTCTGGGATGGGGAGTCCCGTGTGTGATGGGAATGGGAATGTGACCGGGGAGCTGCCCTGCCGAGCGCTGTCCTAGCGGCTGCTGCCGCCCCAGGCTGGGAGTTTCGCTCCAAACGCAGCCTTGTCCTGTGTTGCCAGCACCCAAGGAGACACTACAGGGCCCAAATCTAAGTATTTTCCTGCAGCGCATTTCCAAAATAAGATACAGCGAATGAACAGACGCAGGTTTTTTCTTCCTCTGCAATATTCACTCCAGTTCTGGCTTTTTTCCCTCCCAGCCGTAACGGCTCTGCCCTGGGCCAAGTGACTTCCACCGACATCTACAAGAACCCCAAGGCCTACAGCAAGGTAGGCAGCAGCTGAGAGCTCCTCAGCAGAACATCCCCGCAATGCGACGAGGAGACCGTGCCGTGTTCCCGTCTCCACAAGGCTCCCTGACCCCGCTCGAGCCCCTCGCCCGCTGCCAGCCCCGCGTCGAGCTCCCTTTCCTCTTGCAGGTCCATGAACTTAGCGGGATCAAAATTGTGACCTACTGCTCCCCGCTGTACTTCGCCAACTCGGAGATTTTCCGGGAGAAGATTATAGCCAAGGTGAGCCGTCTCTTGAAGTTTTAATTGCAGCGTAATCCTAAACGGCCCTTGCTGTGTCCTGGCTCGCTGCTTGGAGATAATTGATTGGGATCATCAAGAAAGATGGTCACATCCATCCTCTGCTCTTCCAGAGCCTAGGCCTTTTCTCTCTGATCCTCGGGGCTCAGAGGGCTCTGATCCCGGAGTTTATGCCTGAATCTCGGCAGGTATCCTCAGCCAAGCTGAGAGGTATCCTCTCTATTTTCCACAGACCGGGGTGGATCCCAGCAAAGTGTACTTAGCCAGGAAGAAATTTGTGAAACGACAGAAGAAGGGGATGGAACCAGCACCAACAAGCCTCCCCAAACTGCTCCTGAGGCAGAACAAGGTAACTGACGTTGGCTTCCTGCTGTGTAACCCCCAAATCCCCACCAAAGAACTCCAGTCACGGAGCTTTCCGCCTTGTCCTGCGTGCTTGCGGGTGTGCGGAGGAGGAGATGATTTCCTGCAGCGCTGGGTCACACACAGGAGTGATCCCGCCCTAACCGGGCATCTCCGCTTTCCCACAGACCTTGTCCTTGCAAGAGCTCCAGAAGGACTTCGAAAGCGCCCCCCCAACAGACACCAACAACAACCAGACGGCCGCGAACGGCGCCAGCATCTCCTACGTGAGCTCCAGCGAGCTGCACGGTATCCCACCCGACCCCATGGCCTCCGCGCCGCCCCTCGTCAGCTTCCACACCATCATCCTGGACATGAGCGGCGTCTGCTTTGTGGACCTCATGGGCACAAAGGCGCTGGGCAAGGTCAGGTCTCTGCGACTAACGTTGCCACAAAGTTGGGCAAGAGTTTTCATCTCCGTGTGGGGAAGGACTTCTTGACCTGGAGGGTGACAGAGCACGGGAACGGGCTGCATAGAGAGGCTGTGGAGTCTCCTTGTGTGGAGAGCTCCAAACCCTGCCTGGATGTGACCCTATGCCATGTGCTTGGGGTGTCCCTGCTTGAAGGGCGGGCTTGGAATACATGACCTCCAAAGGTCCCTTCCAACCTCAAATGTTCTGTGATTCTGTGTGATAAGCGGTAGTAGAATTATTACTAGTATCAAATAGAGCAGCAATAGAAATTCTCCCAATAGAAATTCCTCAAGTTACGGCCAAGTTAGCGGTACAAGGTTTGTGTGGTTTCTCCTTTACCATGTCCAGGGCACGTGCAAAGCCTTGGATGAAAACCTTTATGCATAAAACCAGGGCTGGAGCAGCAGTTCTATTAACCTTCTTTCTCCTTCTCCTCCCTTACAGTTGTGTTCCAGTTATCAGAAGATTGGGATTAAAGTCTTCCTGGCAAACGTGCATGGTAAGAATCCCCCAAGAACACATTCCCATATGATCTTCCCTGTTTCTGTGCTAGCTGTCAGCCTCCCATTGGAGCAAAATGGAGCAGATGAGAGAGAAGAAAAGAAGCAGAGAGGCAGTTATCACTGTGTGAAATAGGTTCTTTCATTTGTGATGTGACACGGCTGCAGCATCTCCATAGATTGTATTTAGCCAAATTGATCCCTACATCCATATTTCTGCAGCCGACCTGTTTCTTTCCCATCCAAAGGAACAAGTTCCTATATAGGTTCCTATAGCAATAGGTTCATTCCAAGGGAATGAAGAAGGAATTGTCCTCCTCCAGTTTTCCCTGGTGCTCATGCCTCTCTCCTTTCTCCAGCCCAGGTGTACAACGACATCAGCACAGGCGGAGTCTTTGAGGAAGGAGGCCTGGACCGAAGCCACATCTTCCTGACTATCCACGACGCTGTGTTGTTTGCCCTGGCAAATATGAAGGATGTTGTCCACCCGCCAGTCTTGGAAGGGGTAAATTCTCCCCCAAGCTTTGCTCCAATTCTCAGTTCTGTAGTGCTGGGTTCCCAGGTCAGCGCGAAGGAAGCAGAACGGCTCATTACGGCACCCAGGGACATTTTTGGTTTAGCTCGAGTGGCAAACGTCCAAATCCCACCAAATACTTCAGCTTCTAGTTCTCACGTATGGGCCAAGAACCTGCTGATTTCACTGACAGCTTAGTGTTTCCTCCACATGCCTGAGTGGGGGTGAACATTGGCCCGGCCTACAGACGCCAACGCAGCTTTGCCAGGACTATGCCCTCAGTTCGGCGTCGCCTGGAACACGCAGCCGCTGCCAGGGGCAGAATGTGGGCGGCGAAGCCCTTCTGCCTGCCCTTGGGCAGCCCCAGCACCCAGGGACGCGTCCCTTGGAGCGGGGAGAGGAGGTCGAGGCAGGAAAGGTGGCGTGTGCTGACAACACGGAACCAGGTTATTTCTGCAGATATGGGCCAATTTATTGCCTGATAATTAGAGCTCAAACCAGCGCACTATTAGCCAGTTATCTCACGTGTGTACGTTAAGGTACCCTATGTATCTGCACTGTGATATGCAAACACAAGGGAGATATGCAGCTGAAACGGGATTTTTCCTACACCCCTTCTTCCTGGTGGGTGTTTTCCCCTGCACGAGTGTGATGGTTTTAAGCCTGGGCTGGCTGTGCTTTGGCCCTGCGCTCTGCTAATATGTGGGTTTGATTCCTTCCTGCCCAGAGGCCGGATCAGACCGAGCTCTCCATCTATGATGAGTCTGTGGACGAAAGCAGTGTGGAGTTCAAGAACTTGGAGGAGGTCAGTCCGAGCACGGGGTTACATGCTCAGCCGTGGACGTAAGAGGGGAATCAGAAACCCTGGTTGGGATTGATTAGATGGGTTGTTCCCTGCGTCACTGCCAGGCAAATTGCTCCCCAAAGTCACCCTTGGAAGAGGTCCTTGCAGCCCCAAGGTAACATCCCTGCTGTGAGCAGCTCTGGTGGGAACCCAGCAAGCTCCCCCAAGGGGACCCATTCATCCGCACCCCAAGAATGGGGTGACTTTGGAGAAGAGGCTCTAGCCGCAGCCCCAAAGAGGCTCCCGCGGCCGAGCCCTCAGCACGGGCATCACCAATGTGACCATGACGTGCAAGTGGAGGCCGCTCCGTCCAGCCCTGACCTTGCCATGCTGTTGTGCTGGACGAGAGCACCACGTGCACAGCTGGCTTTCCCTGTTGGAAAAGGGCCGGGAAGAGCCCGAGTTCCTGCCCACGGATCGCTGCCGTGCCGGTCCGTGCCCTGCCACGGCCTAACCCGTGCCCTGTGTCTCCAGGAGATGTTCGGCAGCATGTTCCACTCAGAGGCACAGACGGCTCTGTGAGCGCCGGGGGCGTCACGGCGCGGAAACCCTTCGGATCAGATCCCACCCCGGCCCGAAGAAGTGCCCTCCTCTCCGGAGACACAACCAGTCTGCAAAGGAAGGAGCCATCACCTCTCCCGAACCGACGATACCTCCCTCCCGCCTGCCTGCTCGGCTCCCGGCGCCCGGAGCGGCACCTCCGGAGCAGCAAACGGGAACCTCCAGGGTTCCATTCCTGCTCCATTCCGAGCAGGAGCTCGGGAAATGCTCTTTCATTAATCACAAAGGAGCAGCGAGTTCATTTGCTGGCAGATGCCTTGATGACTGTGATGATTAGTCATTATCGCCAGCCGAGTGCCCTCCTTTGCCTCTCTCCTGAACACATCTGCACGCTTCAAGCCGTGCAGGCACTACCTGATTCAGGCATCTCCCTACCTTCTTTTTCTCCTGCCTCTTTTCCCGATGAAATAGGGAAATACAGGGAGCCTTCCATGGCTTTGATTCGCGAGCAAAAGCCACTCTTGCAAGGTGCAAGGAGCAGCTTTGGAAGGAAATGTTTTATCAAGTGCACTGATGTTCAGGGACCCCGCACACTAGGTGCAAAGCCACCCCTGCAAACCGAAGCCCACCCATTTTGCTGCAGCCCTGCGACTCCCCGCACTGCTCCCTCCACACCCCAGAACCGCTGCCTCAGACCAGTGCCGTATTTTCCATCCCCTGAAGATCTTGGTACCCTGGCTCAGGAGGGCTGCTTTCCGGGTTACTTTTTTATTAACATTATTGCTGCCAGAAATATTTTATAATCAGAGCTAAGAATTCCTTGTTGCTGCCGGTGACGTGCACGGATGGGGCTGCCTAGTTCAGCCCCCTCGGGAGGATTTTCGGGGTCTACCTATCGACTGGACTGAGTGCTGGGGAAGGCGCTCGGGCTGCGGACGACAGGACAGCAGTAACTGCAGAGGCGCTCTGGCCCTCTGCCCATTTCCTGGCCAGAACGACCAAAAGATTCAGTTCAGAAACAGAGCAGGGCTTTGGGGAGATCTGCTTTCTGCAAATCATTTTGATCACAAATAGGAAATTGAGGGAGATGGGAGAGAGCCCATTCTGTAGCCTCTTCAGGATGGCAAGGATCCAGAGCAGTAAATCTGAAATTTCAGCATGATTTTTTTGCCTCCCCTGCAAGCAGGGAATGGCCCAAGTGGTATCCTGTGCTATGCAGGGCCTCAGGTGAATGGTGTCAGCAAAAGAAACCTCTTTTATATCGCGTGATCTTTGCATAACAATTTTCTACTGCATGTTTGATGATTTTCACTGAAATTCACCACAGACTGATGCTCCGAGGATTGCCTCCCTCAGGCAAGCAAGCTTGACTCACTAACCCACACCCAGACAGAAGAGATCTTAATCATTTCTAAAAAAAAATGGTTTTTTATATATGAGTGATATTAATAACTGCTGCTATTTTAGCTTTCTCTCCCAATGCCTGCCCTTTTACCAACTGCTAATGCTATAACAAATGTGACGACAACATAAAGCCTGAAAGAAATCAAGTATAAGCCAAGGGTTAAAGGAACCCTTCTTTAGCGTATTTCAAACTCAGACATGGATTTTATGAAAGAAAAGGGTTATTTTTAAATTTGGACATGCAGGTGTATTTTCAAACGCAATGAAAACAACTCTTTCTATTTGAATTTTAAATCCTCTTCCAGCACCGGCTTGCAGTGTGAGAGCAAACAAAAGTGCACAGTAGCAGAAGTCAACCTTGACGGTTTGGTTTCTTGCCATGGCCAAAAAAAGAAAAAAAGAATGGCCTTAATAATGAAATAAATTATATTTTTAAAAGTTATTTCTAATTTAGTAATCTAAGATATTAAACACATTATCAAGTTTTGATAGACAGTTTGAAGTATATAAATATTTTTGAGCTTTTACACACGGCTGGAAGGCTCTTTAAGGAAAAAAAGGGGAGTTTCTCTACAGCTCCTAGATGTCTCATTTTGAGGAAAACAGAGCTCCAGGAACTGCTAGAGGTTGGCTGCCATTCCAGGGAATAAAACGAGGGCCCTGCCCGTCTGGTTTTGCATGACGTCTCATAATTAAGTCACCACTTCTCTACCTCAGTTTTGGATTATGTGGTGCAAGAGAATAATTAAATCAATGGAAAATAGTTTCCAAAAGGAAAACTAACCTAACTAAATTAAACCCACTAACTAAAGGTTATTTTTTTTTATTTGGGTCTTAGTGAAACAGCTGTGATTTTCCCAGGACTGTCTTTTGCTCCCCAAATTAAATCAAGATATTAATTCTCCTAAATCATCTCTGAGCCTGATTAGTCACAGTCTTCCACTCCCCTGCCTGAGCAATTCTTTTGCTCGCTGGTTTGAAAATAACAACAAAGAAATTGGTGCAATGGAACAAGCAGCTCTTTCACAGCAGCTAATCAATACTGCTGCATCTCTGAGGTGGCGTTGCGTTAAACGAGGAAAATTCCCATTTCCAGTTCTCCATTCAGGGTGAACCATAGGAGACACTGCACAGTCGCAGGGGCCCGACAGACCAAGCACAGGAAGCGGCAGACCATGTATAAAAATTAAACTGTATTTCTTGAGGTTCCTGCAAGTGCAATGGATGCGATGCCAAGGGGGATGGCGGGGAAGGAGCAGTCGCAACCCAATGCTCTGCGATTTTGCTGGCCCGGGATGGAGGAGGCTTCACTCGTGCAGCCACGGGCCGGGACCGGCAATGACCCGAACATCAGTGGACAGATGGTGTTGCTGGAGGCACAGGTACCAGCGAGAAACAGGAATTTCAGAGCTCAACTTCACAATCCCGTGTTTTCACAGGTCAGCTTCACCAGCTTGGGAAATAAATGAATGAAGCCAAATAAATGGAAGGAAATCGCCACGTTTTGCACTTGTCTTTTAAAAGTTCAGCGTGGCCAACCAAATATCTTGGCCAACTCGAAATTTTCATTTCCAGGTGCCTGGACAATTAGGGAAGCTCAAATTTATATTGGCGTTAAAAAATGATAAATTTCCATGTTGGCACTAAAAAAAGATAAATTTCCCTTTTTCTTTTATTATTTCCCTTAAAGTACCAGCAATATTGGATGTGTAATGGCTCTGAAGCCTTACTTGGTAACTGCATGATGTATAGCCAGCTCAAAACATTTGTAATTTATTTAATTTAATATTGGTTCCATTCTTTATTTTTTTTTTCTTTTGATAATAAAGAATGTGTGAACAATCATCTGCTTCTCGTGGCGCCTCGGGAGCCGGCTTTCCCTGGCACCTCCGAGCCGGCTCCAAACAAGCCGGGATTGTTCGACCGGCCTCGGATGCAGGGCAAGGCGAAGCAGAGTGGGAGAGATAATCCGGGAATTGCGTGCCACGGGGAGACGTGTTCGTGTCGCTGCGAAGAGGAGGCTGAGGCAGTGCGTTAACCTGCTGCGGAGAAGCACGGATAAGTATGGATTTGGGGGGGCAGGCTGCAAGTTTTTCCAAACTTTGAGAACATTGAGGTGCTGGAGTGTGTCCAGGGAAGGGCAATGAAGGGGCTGGAGCACAGATTGCAGGAGGAGAGGCTGAGAGAGAGGGAGTTACTTAGCAAGGAACTCCCGGTGGTCGTTGAGGCTGAAGTAAAAAGTCTTCCTCCCTTGTCCCATARTTGACCYCTTACTCCTGTATCCTTATATGGATAACTTGTCCGTTTCTGCTGATCCTTGAAAACATCTGGTGGTTATCTGTAGCTGCAKCCTGCACAAGCAGTGTCCGGTTGCTATTATCTGGTTGCTGTTTTTAGTTTGCGTAGGCGATTTTGTATCTCATATCTTTTGTAGTTTGGCCTTAACCTAAACCCTAATAAACAATACTATAGTCCATAGTCTCCCACAATCCCCCCTTTTTCTTTTTATCCTATTATTGTTTATTAGATGCTGTTCTCATTTTCAGTGCTATAAGCAAACCTTTTTCCACAATCCCTACATTTATTATAGCACTCACAATGTAATACATTATYGTTACAATGGCAATCATAGTTTTCGCGTTGCATATCACATTCTCAATAATCTTCATCCTCATCAATAGGTACGTTCCTATATACGTTCCTGTATCTTGCTCTAGATTCTGTAGTTAAAATGAGCAATTTAGTTATGTCGAACCGTTCTCTGATAAAGCGCAAAATATAACGTAATATACAAGGTCCAAATATAAGTCCCAAAATTAACATAA